ATCACAGAAAACTGCTATAAGTGTAACACTGAATTATTCAGTGCTACACTTATAACTGTGCATCAGTGAATATTCACTGTTTTCAGTGATAAACCACTGATTGACTTTTTAGAAAGTACATGCCATTCACGACAGCCAGACGCAATCAAAGACCTCGGATATGGCTTAGACGAGTGAACGATGATTTATTTCTACCGTCTGCTCTATTTTCGTAATACGTTCAGCCGTATCTTCCCAGGCTAGTCCAGGATGTAGTCAGCACATCCGGATGAACCGAAGTCGTTTGACACTCGGCAGAGCACCACGTGCGGCTTGTCCTTGCCTTTGTAAGACGCCGTTTCCGGTAAGTCGCAACCGTGACGGAATAAAGAAAATATTAGGCTTACTATCTTCAGTTTAATTCGAGTGTCGTCGAAATATAAATCTTATAAATTTCAATGAATCGATTAAATCATTATTATTTTCCTATAATATGTCGGATATTTGCGATTATACCAGAATTTGCAGATTTTTATCTTTATTCAGTAATTATTTCTCATTGTGATATAATCTTCATTTAATTGCAGATTGGACTTGGTTGTGTCAATTGCAATAATAATGACAATAAATGATGTATTATTAACTACGTTGTCCCAATTGTCTATTCAATATTCCAATAACCCGTTATGTAAACTATTAAGCAATTCTAATGCGAGTATTTTGAATAGCGCTGTTTTTATTCCGAGTAATTGCATATACGTGTATTTAATCGAGATATGCATGAGGTTTTTTGTAGAAAGCACGCACGTTCCTTGTGATATTTCAGCGAGGCAATATTTCAATCGCTACTCAACAAAGAAAATATCCGATAACACTGCATATTCATTCGAAGTTTGAAATAGAACTCGGATAAAACTGATCTTCATCATATGTCGATGAGAATTTTTAATCGCGAGGAAACTACGGGAGACGATTTTTTGTTTACGACGGACTAACCAGACGATGTGCTCGCGTGTCAACGTAACTTATCGCACATGTAGCGTAACGCTCGACTTAAAAATGACGACGCCGGCTATTTGCGAGACATTCGGCGAACAGGGTCTCCGTGGTAAGAGTTTAATATAGCGCGGTCATGAGCCTCGAATTCTGGGCCAATAATGTCACGGTTTTGTCGACACCCACTCTTCTCTACCAGAAACACGCGAGAAACAGAAAAATTGAATCGAACAGTATCATACACTGAGAAAAATGTCCGATTACATGTAAATTACCGATTACATGAAAATCCAATTGCATCGTAACAAATCGGATATATCCAACTAATTGTATTACCGATGAAAAATATGATCGATTTTTCAATCAAATTTCATCGGTAACTGCATTTCATCGGATAAATTTCATCGGAAAACGTAATCGGAAACATTAACCATCGGAAACACTATTAATAGGTTTATCCGATAAAAATTTTTCTCAGTGTACGAGTCAAATTATTATCTGTAAAGAAATCACTCTTATTAATAATCTTTAATTTATAGAGCACACCTTGTCGTGTAAATGTATATAACAATTTGTAAAATAATTTGATAAAACGTAAACGATTGTACAGTTTATTTATCTCTGCAAAAGGAGTTTGTTAAGAAACGATGCATCGGCATATAGCGAAAACCAATAGTTTAGAAAATGTTAACACTCTCTCTCGGCGGAAGAGCGGGTGTAAATTTTGTGAACGATGAGTGAACGACGATACAAACCAAACGACCATTCGCTGTATTTGACCGCGTTGCAAAAATAATGTAGAGCGCCACGCAAAGCGGATTTATGAACTGAAAGCGGAGCACGTGTGGAACCGGAAGTGGCAGCGGAAGGGTTGACACCTATTATAAATTTAATTCAATTTTGTTCTGCGTCTCCAAACTTTATGTCTTAATAACATTTCTAATTAAACTCGCGATTGGTGAGATTTCTAATTAATGCTTTACCACAAGAGTAACATCAATAGTTTCTCTAAATCACGTAAGCTAGATTTCTCATACTTTTGCGAAATTGACTGCATTTCAAAATCGCTGGCAATTGGACTGCTACTTACTTCATGATCTATTAAATAGACCCTAGGTAATAGATATCGCGAATCGATTCAATTCGATTAACTACTAGACTCACGAAATCTCGATTTCAATTAACGAGTGTCTGCGGAAAGTATTTCCTTCGTAAAATGCATATACGTGCATGATATCAATGCTGGGGTCTTGTGTTGCGAACATGTGTCGTCTACATATTACATCATATGTTTTTCATGGGTACTTATCACTTTGCGTGACTCATTTTGTGATCAAATAAAACAACGCTATTTGATATTACATAAATGACTCGTGGACCTCTCGATATGTTACTGAGGAAGCGGACAAAAATGTCATTACGCTTATCAGTTTTCATTTTATCGGGAAGAATTCGTGTCCAATTAGTTCAGCAATTAAAATACTTATCTTATTTTCCCAATGATGATACGGGTGAGACAGACTTAATATATCAAGATTAATGACACGATGATCAATTCTGATTTTTCTCGTAGATAGTAGAGAATGTTCCATGGCAGTGAAATTGACGTAAAATCGATTTCGTGTAGAACACCATCATATAACGGTCGTTAAATGGGCGTTGCCTTTCTTTCGTTACACAGAACATTTAGACGGGTCATTTTGTCCATTATGAACTTCATTAGGTACAACGTACTTTCGCCAACCGAACTTTCCTTTAGTCAATAAACCGTAACCCAGCTGATCCCCCTCCTTCTCCGAATTATACTAATCTTTATATATAATCTTGAAATGATCTGTGCGTTATTTCTTAAAGTTTCATGAATATAATAACAGAGTGCAATGTAAAGAAAACCTAAAATATATTAAACAATAAAATTCATAAGGCTCTGACGTGAAATCACAATTCGAAGGAATAAAGGATATCAGAGCCAAAACACGAAGCATTTACCTCAGCCATGGTTTGAACCTGGACCTCCCTATTAAAATAATAAAATATATTTTAATGTAATACATTCCAAGAAACGTTTTCGTAAATCTCTAATAAAAATTGTAAGAATTAAAAATTTTTTACACGTAAAGATAAACGCATTGCGTTGTAGCCAGCCATCACATGTGAATTACCTCGCATTGTTTCGAAAAATGACATTTCCGTGACGTATATCGCTTCGTGTGCTGTACATACAACGAAATCACTAGCTCTCGGGCAAGATAATAAAAACTAATTTACGTAATTCCCTCACTCCGTAGTGCGTTAAATATTTAAATTACCCGGGAAGGTAGATCTCCTCTCCTCTTCTCTCACCGAGAGGGAGGAAAATCTCGTAATCCGCGGTCTAACCATCGGCAAACGATCCCGACAACTAATCATTTCGATTATCTACGGCAGACGCTTAAGCCTCTTTAATCTTCTACCGCTAGTGTCCGACTGAATATGCCGTGCTTGCGCAAAAACGGATAAAATATTGAAATTCATTGCGTTCGAGTTGAAGACGTTAATTCAACGCCAGAGAGAAAATGAGAAAATTCTTATTACGTCCGAGGATTTCTTGTTTAAAAATGCATACGCAGTGGATACAGATATATTTTAACGACACTAATGCGGCTGGATATTCGCCATACTGACGGATACAGGAGTCGGTAGGCATCGGCATTCGAGGCAATGTATTCGCGGTTGAGAAAGCCAGGCGGAGTTTCGCAATGTCAAGATACGATTCGATCGAGCAAAGAAGACTGGATGTCGGTCGCGTTCCCCTTCACCAATCGGCTGACCAGAACTCAAACTCTGATTCCAATCTGTCGCAGAAGTACATAATCTCTTTGACCGATAATGAGATATTTAATGTTCTCTGCTTACTTCCGAGAACACAGATTTACTAATCTCTTCCTTCGACAGAGATTTCACCGTACAAGTGAATCGTACGATTTGACGCAGATCTTTTACGTTCATTTATTCACTTGTATTTACCAATTCAAATCGTTATGTCAATCGTTATGTCAAACGTATCTATAAACTTTGTTATTTACATATAACGTACACAAGTCGAGAAGTAAAAATTTGAAAGGAAATTTGTAATTTGTGCTGACTTTTACATACAGTTGTTTATTCAGCATGTTAAGCTTCATTAGTATATCGGATTCATGTTAAATTTGCAAATGCGTATTTTATGCAATACGCTTCTACGTCATCGCTTTTAGTGCCTCAAGTACGCACGTTTCAATGTAAAAGGACATTCTCCGGAGTGGAATGTCCTAGATCGAGATCGTTATTTAGCCGCTCTATATGACCAAGTGATAGTAAGAATAGAAGCTGAGTGAAATAACGCAAGGATGACAGATCTCCAGCATTTTCATACCAAAGAGGAATCAAAGTGAAATGCATTTACAATGAATTGATGCAAAGATGAATGATAGAACGTAATAGAGGAAAGTCCCCTATTATGAGATAGCTCCTGATATGAGATCGCGGAGTTTCTGCTAAATAGGCATCATCCGTTAGTTCCACCAGGAATTCATTGCCCTTGGAGTGAAATCCGTTTAGTGGAAAACTGATTATTCGATCGTGCAATCGTTGCGAAAAAAAGATTTGCGATTGAATTTAGACGTTGAGAACCTGCTATCTCATAATAGAGCACTTTCCTCTATAATCGTAATTGTTGCGTACTTGAAATTAAAAAATCCAAACGCTAAAGCTGCAATTGTTAAACATCAGTCGCCGATCAATTTACAAATTACAATCTTCTCATTTATAAGGGGATTAAAAATAACGAAAACTTTGAACTACAGACGAAAAAGCATCGGAAGAAAGAATCGATGCTGCTTATCTAGAATTAGCCGTGTATCGTTCTCGAGTGTACAATTATAATTTCACAAACATGTACGCATGTTACCAATGCGCGTCCTTCGCGCTAATATACCCACGTATCTTGAGTGGAACAATACTCTATCGACGCGTCCCAGATCCATGTGGTTATCGGCTAAACTCACCTCGGCCAAAAGAATCAGCAGCAGCAGGAGGATGCCGCTGAACTTGGACACCGGTTGCGGACAGAAGACTTTACGGCCCGTCATCCTCGTGGGGTATACGAAATCTACGAAACCGCCGAGACCACCCGACTCTTGGAGCGATCAGCTCTTGGTTCCACCCTTCACCCAGACACTCACTGACACCTCACGGAATGACACCCACGAAGACACCTTCGGCGTCCAGTTAAGTAACGAGGAATGCGCGAGGAATGTGCGTGTCACAGCGATCGATCGACGGCACTAGGACTCGCTCCTTCGAGTCGCCGCGCGTCGTGCGTGTGGTATCACAAGAAATCGCGTGTCCCACTCCGGGCGCCTCGCGGTAACACCTGTTCGGTCGTTTGACAGCCACGCCGGTACCGGAGGTAGTGACGGCGACGATCGCGGGGGTGCCGAGGGTCCGCGGTGGCAGGAACGTCGGCCGCTGCCATATCAGTCGGCGAGCCGCGTGTCGCCGAGCCTTCTGGTTGACTGAAGCTGTGCGTTATCACGAGCCCAAAATACCAGGAAACGATGACTCGGTTAATGCGCGGGCCCTCGCACGTCGCCGCTCTCGGTTCTCAGGCTCTCCCTCTCCTCGGGCCTGGCGCATCCGCTGTGTCAGGTGCACCGGAGTTATGTAAATTTCCCAGAATGAAAAAGACACATTCAATGATTCGTTTCCCTGTGTCTTAGCGTTCGTTTCCCATTAAATTCCGCTTCGACAAGTCGCACAGCCTTCGCGCCGGATTCGATTTGGTCTCGCGCATTCGGTTTTGTTCTTCTCTCAAATGTCTCCGAGATGCTTCTTGCGTCCAATTTAATTATACTGCGCGACGCGTATAAAGTTACTTTAGAAAACTGAGGCTTAATTGATACAGACGTGTAATATAATTTTCATCGCTTTATCACGGCCGCTTTTTGCATTCTGACGCAAATCCGACGTCTATCCGACGTGAAAATGTGTGCCAACGACCGGCATACACGTAGACGACTGTGCTAACAAAGAAAGTATAATAGGCGTGCCTCTACTTTATCTCTCGCGCGAATCGCGTCTTTTTGTTCTGCCTTTCTTCATGTTGATCTTAAATAGAATACCGGTTCTTTCGCTCATCAGGCACCTATGTCTCCCTCCGTGTTATTCGTCAGGTGTGTGTGACGTAAAGAAATCACATAATACATTAATGCAGCGGCAGAGGGTAATAAAACTTACTTCGCTTTCTCATAAGGAAAACACATTGTGCTATTTTTACCGCTACTTTATAGCGCTCCTTTCCTTTATAAATGCATTTCTCTCATCGCATCTGTCTGTTCGCCGAACAAAAAGTGAGATCTCATCGGGGGGACTGGATTAGTTTCCTCCCTTCGTTACTTCGCGATTTGAGTACTCCAAAGTGTGGAGCGGAATAACGAACCCAGGGGTTGCACCCCTCGGCGCGGTCAACGTGACAACAATGAGGTAACGAAGCAAGCTTCACAAAACATTGAAAATAGCCGAGAGATTGCTCGGTGATCGGAAACGCGTGACTTTGTCCAGAGAAAGGTCTGTCCGATCGATCTTTCCTTGCGCTTGTCGCCGCAATATGCGTTTCAGCTTTATTGCGATATGAGATTCAATTGGGCCGCTCGACGATGGAATCGTTACTTTGCGAAATTAAAAAATGTACACACCAAGCTCGAATGTATGTACATATTTGGCCAGTAGATCTCTTCTATCCTGCTCTCGCTTCTGACGTCGCTGGTGAAAAACGAGTTCAACTGTACGACGGATACTTGATACGGGATATGAGCTAAGGCTGGATTAGTGGTGAGAATAAATTAGACCGTTCCGCGGTATCGCGCGTCCACTTACCGAGGAGACTTCCTTCCGTCACTCTATCGCAGTTGACGCAGCGAGATATCGCGTGAGAAGAACCACCGCGCGAAGCGCTCACAGTTAACGATACGAAGCTATTCCTGAATCGTCCACGAAAAGCATGGGAAACGAGAGACTCCGGAGTTGTTAAGAATACAAACGCTCCGTCTTGGTTAACAAAGGAGCACACACCTGAGCATTACTCCGGAGCCATTGTCTCTGCCGCTCCCTAGACCCTCATTAAGCCACCGGGGAAGGAGCTGCACGCGCGTCATAAAGGAGAACGAAGGCCGGATTTCAAAATAAAAACACCGCGAACCAGCACCGACGTTCGAATGAAAAGTCTCACAGGAGAGTCACCCTCGTCCGAGACGACCACCCCCGGCGGTGTCCGATCATGAAAAACCAGGCCACTGACCGCGCTTCCTCACCCGCCCCGATCACGAGTCCTCGAGAAAGAGAGCGACATCCCTGAAACGCGCGATCTCGTTCATCGGCGCGGCCGCCGATCCAGCTGGACGTCCGTCCGCCGCCTCTGTCATCCCGCGATCCCGATCAACGGACTGGGGAAACGTCTCGGTCCGCCAATGCCGCCGGTCGCCGCGTGTCAACGTGTCCGCGCTCCGAAAACGGAGGCGCGAGGAAGGGCAGCTAGCGAAGCGCGTTTCAGCGCGCTCTCGTACGGCTGTAGGTGCGCACGGTCGACTGGCGCGCTTTCATGACGCCTCACCCGGTGCGGGCCGACCACCAGGGCCAACGGGACCTCGGTTGCTCTCTCAACACTCCACTCGTGGCTACGACCGAGGCAACGCCAGGCCAAGCCGCTCTTCGGCTTCGCCTGCCCCTCACCCCTGCCGCCCCGCCGGGCAACCTGGCCGTCTTTCCATTCCGGCTCTCTCTCCTACCCGCTTCGTCCGTCTCCCTCGCTCCACCGACCTGGCCTGCTCCGGCTGGTTATCCAACGCAGCCGCCATCACTACTGCATCCGCCGCCTCGACTCCCACCAACGGCTCGGTGTCGGCTTTTCCCTTCTGGTTGTCGCTCCCTCTTGCTCGCTCTTGCTGCATACATTGTGCAAATGTACCTGGTGTATGTTCTATACGAACAGGAATGGTTCGATGGTGTGCGAGGGAGTCCAGTAGCGTAGCTACACGATGGGAATACAAGTTACCAGCGAAATAATAAATAAGCTTCGATCTGTGAACGCGTTCTTTCTTCTTTATCATAGTACAATTCTGACGCGGATGATCCATGGTATTTACCGTGGATGCATCTAATTTCATCTTCTGCACCTGATACAATTTGCTAGCTGCCGCCTCTATCCGGCATTCTTCAATTTTGCTAAAAGTAGTATCTATAATAAAATAGGCGAATATAGCATGTAACGGGAGCGTTAAAGCAGACGGACGATGCTTTCTTTTAAGAAATTTCTTAACAGCGAGAGGAAGTCTGTTTTTCTCAAAGGAGAATATTACTGAAGAATATAAATCGTTCAATGTTGCCGTACCGTTCATAACTACCAAATTATTCTAGCCGCATCCACCTTTTTCCATTTATTTCATTTTAGTTATTCCCTTACACTCAATATCTTCCCTTTTACCGGTTTTAAATTCCAGAATCTACTCAAATTGTGTCAAAAATATTTTTACTTAAAATAAAATTAACTTAATATAGTCCTCGTATATTTTCTTCGCGCTTTGATAAAAAATAAAATACAATTCTTCTATGCAGAACTGGATGGTAGCTCACATGCTTGGAAAAAAGTTGGATTTTCTGAGAAATTTATTTATTGAAACAAATTTATTTACTAAAAGAATTAACATCCGCTTGGACGTGATAAATAGAAGTGTGAACGTGACGGTAAATATACGGCAATCGATAGCCCCCGTTTCTCAATCGCGAAACGCGTTGCACGTGTCAGCGTCAAACGATAGATGGGCAGGCGCCCATAGACCGTGTCAATTCCACGCGACGGCATTTAAATGGACGCGACGCCTCCGCGGATCTGAAAAATCCGGAACGGCACCTGCGATTTCACAGTCACGTTGACATCGCGCATCTTCCTTTGCATCCCCTTTTTCCCCGGGTAACCGTCCCTCCCTGGCGCGCGCGCCCGAAGGTAAGGCGATACACGCTCGCAGCCACACGTTCGCTCACGCGCGGACACGCCGCGTATACTCATTTTACGCATACACGCGCGTAAAATAACGACCACACGTACATCTCCCGTTTCTTCCTCTCCGCCGGCATCTCTTTCGCCGCAGCCTCCTTTAACCCTCGCCGCACTTCGCTGTTCCCCCCGGCCTTTGCCCTCCGCAGCGTTGTTCCTGAACCGAACAGTCGCCACCTGATACACGCGCGCGTGCGCGCGCACACGTGCGCGCGCGCCTGTGTACGCGCGCACACGCGGACGCGCCCTTATCGGTGTACCATCTTTATTCATAGAAGTTGTTGCTCTCCCACACCTACGCAGGTGTTCTGTGTGCTTTCAAGTCAGAGACGTGGTTAGTGTAATTAGCACCCCGCTGTGGGCAACAATAAACGTTAGAATTTATCATTACGCGCGTCCAGCATTTACTCCGAGGAGCCGACACAAGACGCGGAAAATCAATAACGTGACGAGGACTCGAGTGCTCCGTCCATTGCGGAATTTTTATCTCCTCGCGATATTTCATCCGCAATGAAGACGCGATGATTGCCAATGCAGGAGCGTTTCGACCAACTTTCTACATTACGTTTTCTTAAAAGCGTCCTGGCACGTTGCTCAATAGCAACTTGATGAATAATAAAATGATAAGTCAGCCAACTGTCATTCCGTTGTAGCATGTAGAAAATGCGTTCTAGTTTACGTCATCGAAGTCACGTTACTTTCACCGTATCCCTGATATATCTTCCGGCGGAAAGGCGATAAGTGCAAATAAATTTGAAGAAGAAGACGCAGCAAACTCGTCTCTCTTTCCTGTGTGCAATAGGCCAAAAAAGGTCCGTGCAAATTTAAAAAGATTGTACTAATTGTCGTAAATGTAACAAATAAATTGTATTCACAGACTGTTAAAATAAACATAGCAACGTTAAATGTGACACACTTTGTCAAAATTGGAGACTACTTCTTAAAAGCGCCTGCAGATAACGTCTTTACAGTGTAGAGTGTTATAAGAATCACGTAGCGACACATAGGAGTCTTATTTTACATTCCATTGTACAGTTCTGATAAACAAAATGGTTGTATTAGCGACATCTGTTATCATGTTAGCAAGCAATGTCATCCTCTACTATGACGGTTGTTGGTTGAACAGGGATGACGTGTAGCTCTGTGCTAACACGAGTGATTAGTAATGGGTAGGGTCCTCGGTTCGATCCCGAGGCCCTCGTCCCGCATATTTTCCCGTTAAGGGAAATTTCATAAAATTCAGTGTTTGAAGGGAGTTTAAGCGTTGGATTCAGTGTTTAATAAAGGCTAAGCATAAATCTCAAGGAAGTTTTAGAAAGACATCACGCTGATAACTTAACGGTTGAAAAGCGTTTCCACAAAGGGGATAAACCTAAGAACAAAGTTGTTGGTTGAAGAACGCAAAGGATGAAAAAGGGAATGCCTATAATTTAATTTGTTTATAATCGAGATTCCCTTTGAATAGTAATAAAATAGGACACCCCGGGGAAAAATGGAAATATCTCATTATATCGTATATGTCTAATTTTTTCGCTTTTTCCCGGAACTAATGATTACAAATTTTGTATATTACATCTGCCTTGAACGCTTCTTCTTTAACAGTCGACGGTAAGAGACACTCTACTACCTTGTGATCCAGAATAAATGCGACGATCAATGAAGCGATTTCGCCATTTTCGTCAATGACAACTAGCTATTCGTTCAACCGCCCACAACATAAAATAAATATGCATACCTGCGACAGTGCGGCGAGGGCGAACTGACGTCAGCAGCAGGTTGAGGTGTCTTTTGTCATCTTTCATCTCTCCTCGTCCTGACGTCATCGTCGGCAGCTGGTCGCAAACCTTTTAAGAATAAGCAGCTATTCCTCACCAACAGCAATTATTAGAAAAATAATCCGCGTACATCGATTCTTCTTTCCTTATTTTACATTAAACTCACTAATAATAATAAACAAAAACCGAAAAAGAAAGTGCCAAGTGGTTATACAAATGTAATGATCAAATAAAATATATTATTGCATAATGCGATGTGACATAACAATAATTACCGGAACGTTGTAATAAAACTGTATAATAAACAAAGAGATAATACATATTTTTAATAGATTTTGTATTTGACTACTTACCATACTAGCTATATTTAAATTACTATAATTTAAATTACTAAATAGTTAATTTTAACTACTATATAGTTTAAATATGGAAGCTATAAACATATTGCATTAATTTGTACCAGCTGAAAGTATATATTACAATAACGGAAGTGATTATAGATCAATTTATATTTCTTTTGTATAACTTGAAATATGTACGTCATTAAAGCATTTCCCAAGCTTTATTATTACCATAAATACCGATTTCTAGTATAATAACAGTTACAAGGTTGCCATACCGTGAGCGAAAGGAAAGAACAGTGATATAAGCATGAATTTATATAATAAATCTAAAAGAATTTTTGAAGTAAGATTGTAGTCTTGCGCAAAATTTCATAAAAAAGATATGTGAAATTGAAATATTTATATTCTAACAAATCTCAATTTAAGTAAATTACTTAAATAACATTTTCTCGAGATATTTAGAGAAATATAAATAACGAAAAATATTGTTTAAATTAATGCGATGAAAATATTATTATAGCAATGTTATTAAGCAACGTAATAATAATTTTATAATATTGACGATGACATTTTGTAAATACAATTATATTAATTTTCATTCTTACATAATTCTGGAATACAAAAGTATAAATTCTGTGAATACTTTGGCTAAATTCGTGAGTTACTGACGAAAGTTTAATTGTGTATACATATATGACAACGTTGAGATTGGTAAAAGCAATTGTTTAACTATTTTTAATTATATCGTTATATCCAATTGTACTTGCTTCAAATCCACACAATGATTCTTATTGTAACATTGATTGTAATAAAAATCGTTGTCTGATCTTGAATTCATTGAACGTCAGTCTGGACGTTTCGTAATATCGATGATCTTTCGATCTTGGAGCACGACGATCGAAGGTTTCCACGGGTCGGGGACACCTAACAATTCGCGATCCATCGCGCATGCGCGCGCCCTGGTCCTGTCTACCCACGACGGATTCTGGCGAGTAGCGGCAGCAAGTGTATGTAACCAGTCCTGGACGGACGGTCAATCCGGTGTCTTGTGAACCGCTCGCTCGGTCAGGATTGATCGGTTGGATTCGACGCGTGGGCAAAGTCGCCGGGAAGAAAACGAGACGGAGGAAAAAAGTGATCTAGCCGGTGTGCAAATTTCGGATTACCCTTTTCTCGCGAGGTAAGAACGGCCAATTTTATTTTTCTTCAGACTTCTCTAATCGGAAATACAATCTAAATTCGTTTAATTTTATTTAACGTATTACACTTAGTGTATTTAATGTATTTGTTGTATTTAATGTATATCTAACGTATTACGCATGGGTATTTTGTAAATTTGTCGATTCTGCAAAATATGTTTGTCGAACTGTACGAAAATTTGTGTAAATATATATGTGTAATGAATTTCTAAACTATTTAAATTTGTAAATTGATAGCACGCAAATGTCATACAAGATCATTTTAAATTAAATCGCGAGAAGTTAAAAACTGAAAATATTGCGCGAATATAAACCAGGAGCATTTAAATTAGAACAATTACTCAAACAATCTGGATATTATTATAATGTAAATAAATTGAATCTAATTAACTAATTGCCAGCCGGCAAATTAGTGGCGTCAGAAGCGCCAATTAACATTAATTATCTTAGCACAAAACTGCTCTTGCAATTATGCGTCTGTTTGTATTGAATCACTATTAGTACACTACTCGCCGCGCTATCGGTCCCATGTAGCAATTAATCTTCCGTCACTGAAAATGCCTCAGTGCCTTTAAATGACTGCAAACAGCGACCGTCATTATGCCGCATATGTCATTGGTTAACACGCCACGATTCCTGATGTTACCAGGTTGGAAAAAGTTCACTTCAACTCGGTAATTTTTATTGCGACTCGTTATAACGCAATAATATTTTAGCACGAAATTATTCCTTTTTAAAATACCATATTATATATTCTACAAAATTTTGTTTGAATTTTATTTGTAGGAAATGCTATATTTAAAATTTATAACTATAAATAATTAATTTCACAAGTCTTCTTACAATGAAAGTAAAAACTAAAGGTATATTTCTACGTTTACCTGTGACTGTTAAATGCAGCGTGCGGAAAAACTTATATTACAAACTGTTTCTGCATTGCCATCAAATTCTTTAATCATAACACATAAATTTTTGTGTGCAAACTTCAAGCTTCTTAAAATTTTTACAATTATTTCATTAAAGTATGATTTTGCAAAATGAGCCTGTTACCTTACAATATGTAATATGATATTAGATTCCATTTTATACATAGAAGGTACTTTATATAAGAACATTCCACAAAATTTAAATTTGCAAACTGCGACAATTTCACATGGAGTGATTTTTTTATACCACAATTCGCAATATCGGCTGGACTTGTCTCTTGAAACGTACGTAACACGGTAAGCAGATGACGATTGGAGATAGGCGGAAGGTCAAATCCCACTTTCCGTCTTCGCGGATCTCTCAGCCATGTTAGGTGCGTTTTAAAGACCGTTCAGAATAAATACCAATATGCATAATTCATGCGTCACTACGAATGTTACAACGTTCATTAAGAACTGCCTCGTAAGCAATGCATTATACATAAGAATAACATTCAAGAATAAGTGGAAATTCTTTGGCACCGCGTAATATTTCAATACAGTTGTAAATTATCTCATTTTGATTAACGTGATGTTTAATTAAGGAAAGACGACAGAAGCGAATTGTTTGAAACACAATCGTAACTCTTGAAATTTCTTCTTGCCTTCAATCTACTGATCTTTATCGGCACTATTTGGCAGGCGGTATATTTTTGCACGAAACTGACTTGTAGAAAAATAAATAAGACAAATTTGTACAACTGAGGTGAGGAAAAAACGAGGGCGCGGTACGACGAAAGTAGACATAAAAATAGGCGCAAAGCCAAAAACATATTGGCTCGTGGCATATAAAGTTTCGTACCATTGGGTTGGCGCGCCAAAAATAAAGCTGTATATTTTTCATCGCGTTTTTTCACGATGTTAAGCAAAATAATAAATTTTTGAAATTTTAATTTTGTAATACTAAGAAATGTTTAAGGTCGAAATTTCATTGAGGTAAAATTTCCGTAGAAACACATTCAATTAAAATATGAAATGATGTATATTCTCATGTTGTTATACGTTTAATTTAAATCATTACGCAGCTGCTGAAAACAGTTAATGGCAATCACGCGCAAATTTTATCTTGGCACTCCACAGACGCCAAAATTCACGGTTCGTTTGTGCACGTATGCAAAATAACATTAACGAGCAATCGTCAAAATCGCCATTAAAAATCTACTATTCGTGTAAAATGCGCCGACAGTAGAAAATCTGTTAGTCGGGGTGTAAATAACGGCATAAAGATGGATAGGTTATATTTAAACTGGTTAAACAAAGAACGGGGAATGTGGCGGCAGACGAAGAAGGAGGTGAGAAGGAGAGATGAGATGAGATGAAACGAGATGAGATGAGATGAGATTCCGGGCGCCAGTTGGCTGGACCGCCACCCACGTGATGTCAAATGTCAGCCTTAAATTTATACGAGATTGGATTTTACATTTTTTGCTCATCTCTCGTATGCACGTGCACGAGTAACGTTAACAAATAACTGATGCAATTTATTAATGTCCTGACAAATTGCCGAAACAGATACTTCAGCGAACTATAGTGACTTTACTACTTCTATCAATATCAAAATTGATAAGAAAATTATCTAAGCTTACACGTTGAATTAGTCCTTTTTCATTAATGATTGCATGTACAAAATATACCAAGACTTCAGATACGTGACAATGTCTCTTTGAATATCGTGAATTTAACTATCATTCACGCATGTGATCAACAGTAATATCACGTTTCAATTAGGTTCGAATTACCAGCTCGACGGTGCAAGAATTTCAATCGATGGTTTTAATATCGAGTATTGTAGGATGAAAACTTCTTAGTAAAACAGAAATCATAAAAATAATGATTTAAATATAAATTAACTGTTCATAGAATCACTTAAAATTTCACAGCACTCATGAAAAATGTTGCAACTATAGAATTGTTTGTGCGAAAATTGTTTGAATCACAGAAGGACCCGAGATGACCCTGTTTTTACACACAATATTGTCCACACACAATATTTTCATCAGTATCGATTTCATAAATATTTCATAAATGTTTTTAACAAAAAATATCAGCGAAAAACGTTGCATAAATATATTCGAAATTCAATAAATGCCCAATAGGAGAAACTTCTCCTATGAGGTCTGTGATACTCATATAATATTTACGTTGTTTGCGCAATTGTGTTGTGAATGCAAACACAAAACTTTCTCCCGTTGACACAGTTGTAATTCTCTAACGTTTGCATGTTTTCACCATTCCGTATTACCCATCCGATTACGCTTAATAAAACTGACACTGTAATCGGTGTGCGAATGCCGCAATTAATAGTACGAACCACCGTTGTGTAAGATATATTCGGATGTAATACACGATAGTGCAATACGTAAGTCGGTGCGTACGTACCGCAGCATTACAGAAACGTTGCGGTGCATCAATATACCAACAGTAGTAACGACGTAACATAATCACGCAGTTGCAACACGATCTCTTATAGTGTTTAGAATAATAATGCACTTCTTTGTACTCCGGTTCCCTACTTCTCCGAGCGATTCTTATTTATTCTTAGCCATATAAGTGGTTTCTACTGCTGCGTTCGCAACACCCTTCTTTAACCCTTCCGCGCTAAGATTTCAAGAATTTCTGCTCTTTAAAATAAAGCTTCTTTTTGCATTTTTTATTAATTTTTTAAGTTGATTTTCTTTTAATATTACATTGGCACATAATCGCGCGTTAAACTTTGAATTTTGACTAACTCGATTGTTGTGAATCTGTAAGCCACTTCGTTCGGAAGTATTTCGCTATTTTACAATCGAAAATTTCGCCACTTCGAGACGAAAATACATATGATCTCGTAACCTCCCGACATGATTTGTTTTATTTACGAATTGTATACATCTGTGAAAAGCTCTCGTCGTGAAATAGAGCACGTGAGTCACGGATATGTTCTCGCTCGTAACGCGCTTTAAAGTACTTCTTATATCGACGCCAGTGCAATCAATCTAATTTCGTCGAATTGGCCAACAAGATAAATCTTTCCACAGTTTTTATATCCTTTATTAACTCGATTGCATAATTTATTTTAGTTTTTATTCTCGCTTGATCAATTATATAATATTGAAAATCATGTTCCTTTATAATCGAACGAAGTAACTAGACGTAGTATGGAAAATAATTAAAATTACTACGATATTTATTGTACTAATTTTAACGAAAGCAATAACACGTAATCTTTTAATCTGTGGATTTTATATTAACACGATCTAGAGGGAAGAATATCACGTATCGCGTTTCTGTCAACAAAACGGAGCACGTAAAATTTTTTAAGAGATCGTATCACCGTGGATTAACGGTTGTAATTTCGCGGAGCAAACGATTTGTCCTCTATTTTTTTTCTCCACCCACTGCGCGCAACTTCTTTATGTTTAAACGAGATGAAAGTGATTGCGCAAGAACCGCAATCAGTAACGCGCAGGTGCATCCTGCAGGCTGAAATTATTACTCCGCGACCCGATGGCCAAGAATACATTTGCGAGCGTGCAAATTAGATGCACAATTAAAAAGACGGGCAAATAAAACGTCGCGACTGGCGGGGTGAAGGCTCTGTATCTATCGGATCTTAAGCACTGACTCGAGCGGAGTCACGATTAGGTAGCCTTCTTGGAATTAAACGAATCGCAGTCATCATCGTTTCGATTGACACGATAGCCTTGGAGGGCACGATACAATGTCACTGACGATGACCGGCTAACTATCTGCTTAAAACAGTTACATCGTCCGTTATCAGTGGCGTAACGTTGCAGCTGACAATGTACCTACGATCGCACGAAACCATTTCGACTTCCAATTTAGGCTTCTGATTGTATTGTTTAAAACCTATACCTATTTTGTAATTCCGTGGAGTATTATACGTCTTTCACATGTACTTTGCAAACGTATGGTTCAGCCCATTGTTATCGCGACAAATGAACTTTTTCATACGATTTCCTTTTTCTATCGAACAACTCGTTTTAATTACGTCACTGCAGCCGTTACTGCTCATTCGATCAAGTAGTTACGTGTGCTCTATATTAAACAGGAATGACGCGGCGGGCTTTGAAGTCAACTTATAATGCCGTCTGAAAACGAAATTGTGCGATAAAATCCGAGTATGAATGGTCTCGTTATCGCCTTTTCCGCTTTTAAATCCTCTCACAAATCTGACTGCTGAAATTACGCGTATATTATTTATAAACATTATGTCACGTAACGTAACTAACAGTGATATATTATACCAAATCAATACGGAGTATACAACAACACTATAATCTTTCGTACACTAAACATGACGACGTTAGCGTGTATAAGTTTTATATGTACGTATACACATCTAATAATGCATCTATTTTGTTAAAACTTGAAACAGTTTATATGTTGTCATCATCGTTGATACGATACTTTCCTAAGGACAAACTGTCTTTAATGGTAATCTTGATACGAGTGCGACGTCATTAAGAACTCGTATATCACAATCAAAGCGAGATATTCGTCGCGGAGACGTACACAGAACCGTAATTGACCTTGATCTGCATTTATCTGACCTTGGACCAATTCGCCCAAACTCGCCTTCAATAAGAGACGCCTGCAGTTACCAAATTTGGATAGCAACTCCTTCCTTTTATCGTGTATTACGACCGATATACCAGAATTGCTGGCAGAACAGTCGCTAGAATGCGTAGAATACGTATTCCAGAGATGGTCCCGCGAACACCGTGCGTTTCGAGATTTTGGAGGAGATCATATGAATGCGTACCTCTTTAGCTGCCGATTCTTGGAAGGCCTCCTTGGCCCCCTGGCCTCATTCACATTGGTGCCTCCGCCGGAATAAGTATGAGACCAGTTAGCATTTCCGCCGATTTAGTTCTCCGACTGATCTCACCTCTTTATCCAGTCTTATATATTTTGAACGGATCAGTTTCATCGAATATTTATGTGTCGCTTTCTAAAGTATAACGCGGTGACGTGTCGTAATGTGTAAAATAATTTAGGTCTTCGCGTTTCTTCTCGAAAAATATCTGTCGAATAGCCAATGGTACGGTAAGAAACAGCTTTTACGGCTACGGCAAAAATCGTGTATGCGCGACGGAAATCAGGAGCCTACACCCACTCGGACCTAAAACTGGCCGGCCTGGTCACGGCTGTTGCGCGAGTCTTGTAAACCGGCTTCGAGTGGTGCGAAAGTTCCTGCGAAAGTCCATAGCTCTCTACAGAGATTCGAATCCTAATATCAATTCTATTTATAACCCCACACTTCTATAAGTAGCGCGTTGCAGCAAGAAATATCTATCCGTGCTGCCGTCGTTCCAGTTACCCGACGTGTTCCAGAGGTCTTGTCGTCATAAATATTTATAATGAGACTGATTAATGATAGGTTACACTAAAGTTGATCGAGGCGCCAATCAAGCCTGCCACGTTACCCGTTACAGATTTCGTGAGGCAGGGCTTAAGAAGAACACAATGTCAGCAGCCGTGAGGGAGCGAACGTCGACGCACACCAGCAGAAAGATTGTGAGTCATGGCGGTCCTATATCTGGCCACAGAGACGGAGCAGCCACGGCCAGCAGTCTCGAAAACAACTTGGGTAAACCTTTAAATGTGCCACCAGAGGTGTAACTCTATCCATCCGTTGTTCATTTCCGCTTCTCTCTTTTTCTATCGAGCGAGTCGGCGATCTTTTCACTCGCGACACTTTCGTATCCGAGTTTCAATTTTTAGGAACAAATTAGCTACGCGCGCGTAGCTAATTTATCCTATTTTTTATAATAAATTATTTGAAGAATTTTCTTCTCCGCTGATGATTGACAATACTCCTATAAAAGTAGTGTAACGTGGAGTAGAACGTGATAGTATTTTAATTGAGATCACTTGTAATCGTTTTCGGATTCGTCTTCTCGTCCCTATTTTTCGTCAAGACGTCGATGACGTGTTAAATTGATTTATTCGGCTCTTTCAGACGCACTTCTCGAGGATCTGCAGACGAGTGTCTCGAGAAGTGCCACTCCTAGCCGAGACAGAACACTCTTACCCCAAGTCGAATATAGGGTAGCTGCCAACCCCACCAGAGTAATCTCCGAGGGCAGGTGAGAGAACAATAAGTTAAACGTTAATGACGCATCTCTTATACAAATAATATCCTTTCACACGTAAAACTACGTTAATAAATATTTGGATTAAAAATTACTTTTCAGGTCCATGTCTCCGTCTCGCTCGAGGGTGACTACCACTGAAAAATTCGTTAGTACCGGTCCAGCTGGAACGGGAAGCGGTATACCGGGGCTGGAACATCTGGACGCGGAGCTGCAAGATGTGAGTTCTTAGGCTAAAATGACGCTTCATAAGAATATCGTAAATTTCATTCGGTTTATTCGATTGGAAAGTCTAATACAAAGGCCCACGTGTTAATTCGGAAACAATTATAAACTTATAGAATTAATTTCATGGTGAAAACTTATTGCACGAATAAATCTTCTTACTGAAAAGTTATAGTTCTGCGAGATTTTTACTGTCGTTCAATATCTATCACTTAGTACATTACGTTGCCACTTTATCAAATAACAGACGTGCATTCTCAATTAATTAAAAATCATGAAACGCATGAAATATTAAAATTAAATCTAAAGTGTGAGTTTATTATCGCTGGGGTAAAGAATGGATAATAGCCTAGGGATACAATCTAGGAACAGGAAATAACGATAATCTTGACACGCATCGTATGAAATCACGTCGACGTCGACGATGCTGGTTCTTAAACGAAATAAGAATGCGTTGCGTGATTAATGCATGCAAGAAACTAGTTTCGCGCACCGCCATGTGCCCTTGCCGAGATCGCTGGATGTGCTGTGGAACAGAAAACGACTATTTCGATCAACTCATGTTAATTGAGTGAAGCTACTTTAATGGCACATAAAAATTCTCGGTACAACTCGCTTGAAATACATAACCGAGTAAAAAAAACAACGACTCAACATACGCGAACTATACATTGTTTAACAAATATACAATTTTCTCAATATTGTCGGGTCAGAAAAAATTGTAATAATTAAATTTATAATCTAAATATTAAAGTGTTGATTTTTTACGTCTCGAACAAATATCAGATTACATATTTGTCAATATGCACACAGTTTTGCTACTGAAAGTCGTAAACAAATGAAATATTTTTATATTTCGCTTGAAAAGGACAAACCATGGTCGAAACGTTGCGAGCATTAAAGATTAAAAATGCCAAATATGGTAAAACAAAACACCAAAGTTGTTAATTACTGCTGGCGACATTGAAGAATATTCTTGTTAATTGAAATATTTTTACTCCGAGGAATATACATATATGAGTGGAAGCAAGTCTCCTATTATGGGATAGGCTCCTAATATGAGATAGCGAGGTTTCTATTAAATAGACATTATCTGTTGAATTTCTTGCCCTCGGAGTGAAGCCTGTTTGGTGAAAAATTGATTGTTAAATCGTGTAATCATTGTGAGAAAAAGATTTGTGATTGAATTTGGACGTTGAAAACCTACTGTCTCATATTAGAATCCTATCTCATAATAATACAGGACTTTCCTCTATGAATTTTATACCGCGGTAAAACGTAGATTAATAGAGAATCGATTAGCATCAGTAAATTGTACCGCGGGTTCATTTATCAGCAACATTAATCAACGACAATATTATTAACAGCGGATCTATAACACCCACCGCACCGTATAAATCAGGCGCAATAGATTGTTAGACGCAAAGTATGAAATCACTTCCACGTTCACCGAGCTTTATGCGTCCCGCTGGACGCTGCGGCTCCAATTATACGCCACGCAGATTGCATCGTTCATGCATTTGCCCCCGGGTCGCAAATGCCAGTGCATCTAGCAAATGTTCAATGTTACCTCTCGCTGCATTCGAGACACCGATAGGAATAAGCGAGATCACTTTTATATTATATTTTCAAGTCGACGTGTCCCCGAAAATCGATCTAGCAAATATAGATTCGACGATCGCGTAATTGCATTATAATAGTCGTCCGCGCGACTATAACTGTCTAATTTGAAGCCAAATTATGATCGCTCGATGACTGTAATTACGCCACTCCCTCGCTTTCGTATTTATCCATTGACCTTTAGCCTTCACGCGATGTTACGAAGAATCCTTTAATAAATAGAAGAGGATATCGGCTTGAACAGCAAAATGTTGACACCGTAGATATTCCTTCTTTATAATTAATATTAAAAGTTAAAGTCTATTCCCTTCTCTCCTCAGTGTTATTATTTTCTAATGTATGCATACACTTTTTAATAGCAACACATTAAGATTCATATTTTAGATGCGCGATGTGGCGTGACTCTTCACTTTATAAAATACTCGCGAACCACACGGGAAAAAAAATGATCAACAAGATCAGTGTAATTGAAGTAAAATCGTTGAAACGGCATCACTTTTAATGAATGATCAGATAGTTGTCTTAATAATCTGGATATTTAGTCCAATGCTAAAAATTAAAATCCACAGCGAATACAATTGAGTGAATTATTTGTGGCGGTCCGTGACGTTAACGTTTAATTCGAGCAGCTTCATTATTTTTAGTTCGACGGCTTTTTTTTGGAAATGAAATATTTCTCGTACGTTCTTAATTTTGACCCGGTCTTCCGGCCAGGCAAGAGAGAAAAAAATGAAGAAACGCGTTAAAAGGTTCTGCTCGGTAATGATGCTCGAGACAGCTACGTAATTGTAGTAATATTACCATTTTACGCGATATACCGAACATTAGAGCATCGCGGCGAGGTACAGAATCAGTCTTGCGTGTAACGGGGGCCCCGAGGTAGGTAATTGCAGCGTTCGCTAGTCGTATGGCTTGTAATCCGACGTTCAATGAAAATAAATTGGTTTGCTCTTACACTCCTCGCACACCAGCCGGATATATCTTCGAGCTAATGGGCTTTAAGATCTTTAAGCGACGCTGTCTATCATCATCCGCAACGGTAGAGTGTAACGAAATAATCTGTAAAATTCCTGTACGTCTTATTTGCATACTCTCGCAGTTTGTGAAATCATGTGTTAAGGTTCATACGCGAAGTAGCACGCGGCGCGCGTGCACATTGCGTTCACGTAGAGAAGAAACGTGAAGAATTACAATTTGTATTCGGAGGATCGAAATAATTTATTCCATACATAAAATGTTGTGGCAACTCGGCTGCATTTTGTAGCTGAAACAATTATCGACCGTGAGCTGCACCGCGGGATTATCAGATGTTGTTACCGATCCGCCCATACCTTTGCACGTGGGACAGTCGTAATCAGAGTCTTATAAGGAGAGTCCGGCGCTGACACTGCCCACGCGCTGCTCGCGCTAATTTGTTACGATCGGATCGTTGCTATAAAAACGGATGACCTGAATGCCTATGCATACTGATGCGAGATTCTGCATTCGTGACGTCCCCGTCCTCTTCTTTTGCAGGTCCAACCCGGTCAAACTAAAACGGTGGCCTACAAGCAGGTGTCGTACCACTACAACAAGGATTTGGACGGGAAACCGGGTGAGAAGAATCCACGTTTTTATTTAATTCTACGCACGACGCGAGAGAGTAATTTAACAAATAACATATAATATTATAGTTATGTAACGTTGCCCTGGTATTGCGCTCCACGTAGCTGTAGAGCATCCCGTAGAACTTAGCGTACTGTCGCTGCAGCAAAGCGGATTCTTATCGGATTCCTTGAATTAACCGAGACAAGTAACACCGCGGAGCCGCGGTGAATAGCTTGCGAACGTGAAACGATCAAGGAAGGTAGGGGAGCCGGTTGCTCGTGTCACGCCTTTTAAGGCGCGCAACGGCCTTGCTGGTTTACGGTTAATTGATAATGAAAAAATCGACCGGATCGAATTTGAACGTTATTCACATCCTCGGCGCGATTCTAGCTGTGAAGAATATTATAAGCGAGCGATATCACGTGTCTCTCTATCTCTCTAGCGTCGCTTTCCAAAAGTAGCGAGTTCTGAAGTCGCGTCTCCGATTCATAAAATTTAATAAAACTACTCCCAAGTATACATGCGATTCTCAATGCAAATAAAAAATTTAACACACTGTGGAAATAATGGGTGAACGTTTAAATTAGGGAGCACCTCGTGGATATTTGATATTTTTATACAAATACATTTTCGCTTCACGCATTATATAGATGAAGCGATCATCCATCATCTCGCGCTCTTCGTGCAAAGTACAAATATTACATTTCTCCGTCATTAAATTTTATCCGCACAAAAAGTCCATCCAAACACATCCGTTTCCCAGCATCCTCGTCGAATATATTATCGATGGGACGGGGAACCTTTTCGAAACTTGATTCATCTCCGCCGTAAAGAAGCGCGTTGGGAGTAAAAAGGTCTTCCCTCTATCTCTGTATTTGGCTGAGACGGCACGGTCGTAGCTCATGTTCTTCGCGGTCACGCATAACACAAGCGTATCCATATTAGGACCGCTTATGGCAGAAGGCTGACCCGATTTCTTCGTGTCTCCGCTGCTCTCCCGAAAGAACGAAAGGTAAGAGAGAAAGACCGCGAGGGAGGTGTAGAGCAGAGGATAGACTCAAATTAGCTACGCTGGAAGGACAAGGACGACTGTGGTGATGGCGAGAACATTCGTTGATCGAGATATTCGTACGAGCCAATAAAGTCCACTATTGTAGTAGTTAACGTTACGACTCTCGTAAGATCGAGCCAACGATGTAAATCACTTCAACTTGTTGGCACCTAATTATTTCGTGCACTTTAGAAATTGACATTAATTTAGCACTTTTTATATCGCGCTGTTATTCTAAACTTATTATCGCGTTTTCGACAATCACAACGATAACGCGCTCGATTGATTTATTGTTCCAGACTCATGGGGCATATCAGAAAGCAAACAGCCTCTCACTGGCGCGCCCTTGATGTAAGTACACAATTCTGCCTCTCATAAGATCCAAAATATCCTTCGTTTTCTGAATGGATGCCAAGCGACTCGGTCGCGTGACATATATTTTCCGTTAAAATAGAAATAAACTCATATTTCTCAATTGTCTGTAATTTACGTATGGAAGAAATTTACTGCACAGACGGTGCAAATACGACTAGTCTACTAATTTTACAACTCACAAAGTAACTTTGCAAATTTTCGAAACGTAAATTTGTAAATGAATTGATTAATATCCACAGGGAAGACATCCATGAAAGATCCTACGAGGAGACTAAAACTCCAGCGAGTCCATACACGTATCAAAGTCCAGAACCGGTTATTAAAAAATCAGTGGTTAACAGAGAATTGGTGAGCAAAATTATATTATTGTATATTGAGCATTTTCAAACGTCGATTCGCCGATGTTTCTTACGTCAAATGAAATGGAATTGGGATTAATACAATTGTATTTATCAGGTCTATGGCGACTCGTCTCGTTCGAAACAAATTTCTCCGCTACCAGGGTCTCAAGGCACGCAAGAATACAAGACCATCGAGTACAACGTCCCGTCGCCAAGTCCATCGATACCGATCAATCTGGCGCCCGGACCAAACACAAAAGTAACCACTACCATCAAGACGTACACCTACGAACTACCGGGAGCGCCGGAAACGTATCTACCAGGTGGCAACGTGCCAGGGAGTGTCGTGCTGCCCGGTGACCAAATGATCACGTACACCCTACCGAGAACCACCACAGACAAGACGGTCACCTATCAGACCATGACGGAGAACGTGCCGGGACATCCTGGTACGCCGATCAGATACTCGCCGACCGAGATCAAGACGGAGAAGTCTAAAACTATACACAAAGAGGCCAAGTTCTACCGCGAGGATCACCATGGCCAATCGTCTCCCTATCCCTACCGTAACGCTGTACCGACGAACTTGGAGTCCAAGACCACCGTGACCGAGAAGTATTACCATGACGGTAATTATCCTAATGGCCACGGACCGGGCGACCGTCCGGACTACTCTACAGGCTCCTTATATCAAAATCAATCGCCTCCCGTGAGCGAAACGCACACCAGAAGCATCAATCGGTTCGAAGAGTATAGATCCGGCACGTCGTCGTCCAGCGGACGTTATCCCGACAAGCCAGATACTCCGACCAGGAGCTATTATCCGGCTATTGTCCAAGAGACACCGCCGCAGTCCAGCACAACGATTTACAAATTCTCGAATACTATGACGACAGTACCGCCGAACAAGCACGCCGACGACCACGAGGTCCTCCTGCCGAAGCCGTTTCCAACTTCTGCTAAGCGAATTGCCAATGGCGAAGGACCACCGACGAAACTGGAGGATCTCATGGCCTCGTTCTCTGATTCTGAGGTAATTGATACGATATTATTTGCACGATGACAGTTCTATACATGTGTATATGTATTTTATTCGTTCAGCGAGAGGTATTGGAAGATATAGAGAAGCAAGAGCGTCAGAGCAAAAAGGAATCGCCGGCTACGAAGAAGAAGGAAGTTGATTTTCTCCCGCATACACCACCCAAAGTCAAAAGCAAGAACGTTGCTGGGCCTCCGGTCTATTATCCTCCTGGCTCGGCGGAATTCACCAAGAAGGAAGAATCTAGTGTTGCCATGGCACAATCCGGCGTAAGTCTTATATGATTTCACCTGGTGAATATTTAATAAGGTTCTCTATTATGAGATATTTGATGAGTTTCTGCTAAATTAATAGGCATCATCTGTTGGTTCCATGAATTTACTGTCCTTGGAGTAAAATTTGTTTCCTGGACAAATTCATTGTTAGATCGTATGATTGTCGCGACAAGAGAAAAGATTTTGTAATTGGCTTTGGGTGTTGAAAACCTGCTATCTCCATATTAGACGATTGTGTGGTACATGTACCAAAGTGCACCAAGTGTACACTCGGTCATGAATGCTTTTACACCTGAAAATAGCCGTCAAGTTCAATATATTCCAGTAGAAAAATTCATTTTATTAAAAGAAATTTTCCCATTGGATATCTTTAGCATCTTTCTTCAGGTGTAAAGGCATTCATGACGTTGAGGGTACGCTCTGGTACACTCTGGTATTTATATGTACCAAACGGTCGCCAAAAATCACCTATTAGAAGCCTATCTCATAATAAAGGACTCTCCTTTATTATACGAAACGATTGTAAATTCACGATATTTCATTAATGATATTCTCACATTCACCAATTTTTTCAGGGAGAATGGCAAAAGGCCAGCGGAAAATACGAATACGAGGCTTCCAGCAAAAGTAAAAGCAAAAGCAGCAAAGGGGGTGCTGTTGTCCCAGTTTGCCTCCCGTTATGCTGCGCGTTGCCATGCGTCATTATGTAACTTATTATTACAGTAACAAATTAACGAAGTACATGACATACACACACGATATACATTTGTTATCATAATATAATCGACAGAAATTAAAGGAGAAGTTAATGCAAAAGCATAATCTTAGAGCAGAGTTTTATAAATTTCATAACTTTTCCTTGCCGATATAAGGTTCGTTCATTTGACTTGCATATTACGCTTTTTCTTCTCCTTAGGTAACATCAATTTCACTTTAATTATAAAAATATGGCTAAGAAGTTTCTATGTACGTGTTGATATACTTAATACATGACAGATTATATATTAAGCAAGTAATCAAAACAAATCGTGCTGTTACATGAAAGTGAACGTTACTGCGCTATGTTAACATATTTATAAAGCAGGAATATTTCGAGAAGCTATTTATTTTTATTTCTATTATTACAAGTATTATTTTTCCCAGTGGCAAATTATTAAAAAGTTTTACATGTACCGCAATATAACATATGTTATAACGGAACGTATAATACGAAATGTTATATCTAGTGCCTCCTGTACATTTCTCAAGTCTATTATTACATATTTTATTATATATATAGGACATTCCGCGTCAACCGGATCACCGGCGTCCTCCAAAATTGTGATGCATCCGATCGGGACGAGTAAGGCCCGGTCTACAATGAGTCGTTAGTCGTTAGTCAGAAGTCGCAACTATATGTTGATCCTTTTCCTTTCTGGGTGGAAGAAAAAGGACCGACATATAGTTCCGACTTCTGACTAACGACTAACAACTCATTGTAGACCGGGCCTAAGAGTTGTACAGCAAAATATATGCATTCTGAGTTCATATTGTTCTCACGTATCTCACAAACATGACGACAAATATGGACACAGATGCGGGCTCACATGCTGCTCATGCTTATGACTCAGATAACAAAATGTATGCAGTTTGAGTTCATATTGTCCTCATGTATCTTACAAACATGACAAAAATGAATTGTAGTAGAAAGGCCATGTTGCTTCTGGAAGTATTCAAGTAAACGAACAAATCGCGCCCTTACTTGTCCCAATCGGGTGCGCAAATTTTTTAGGAGGCCGGTGATCTGGTTGCCGCGGAAATCCCCATATACATATATATACATAAACAAAATAAATAATAAAATTAATAGCACATATTTTAAATAAATTAGAATTTTTATTACTGCGTAAATATATTTTTGTATTGTTATTTACATTGCCTGCCGCAATGTATATCTTTTATATGAGAAACGTAAATTATACATAGCATTGGCAATTAACTATCTAAGTACAAAAAAACTGTAAAATATCCTTGTTTTTCAAAACTGTAAAATTTCTTATTACTTAGCAAATAAATTTTATTAGTCATTTTATACATATAAAATGTATTGAACTTCAAGTTGTCCAATAAATTATTTGTTTTCAAACTGATTTGCTAAAGATGAAAAGGTAAAGCGAATAATTCAAATATATTGTAACAAGTAGGATAAATGAATTTTAATTATTCTTAATTAATTACCGTGAATTATGGTGCTATAATAATTTTAGTACATAAGAACCATGTGAAATGGAAAATATCAGTGCAAGAACAATCATGTGCATAACATTGGACATGGCTATAAATATTATCTGTAATTACATGTAAAAATTGCGTCATATCGTGACATATAACACTGCGTTACATATATATCAATGTACAATAATAATAGGTTATACTTTAATAAATTCACCGTTGTTTCTAAACAATACTTTTCCATACATGCGCCTCGTCCACATATACATTTTCTAGAAAAAAAAATAACCCTCCTAATAATAATAAACTGCATACACTATAGCCACGCAAAATATAGTATCCTGAAAAACAACGTGCAATTAAGTCAGAAACAACGTAAAAATAAGATATCTGGGCATCAGTGCGACAGTAGGTTGAACTGAAACATTTGTCTCCTTACATTGATAAAACTGTCATAGGCATATGTGTCAGCTTCTGCATCCCAAATACATCTTGTACCTATTTTCACGCCGGCACCATGTTGCTGGCCCAAAACCACGTTGACGATATATTTGTACCTCTTAAACTGTAAGTCTGTGAATACATCAAAAAGGCTATAATATAATAAATATTCGTACTACACTTAAACTGTAACAATCAATATCAATTTAAATTGTGCATGCGGAACAAGTATTACCCTTCATCTTTCTCTCAATAATATCTGATATATTTTCGGTCCATTGCGCAGCTGCCTGGGCGTCATACGACTTGGTGGCGAGTTGATCGAACAGCACATCATGGATTATCTCTTTCGCACTTAGAGGCTTGAACCTGTGTTAAAATCGTTTAAATTTCAATTACGCCTGGACTCCAAATTAGTCAGGCTCTAAGAAGGATGTCAATTATACCATCAGTTCCACCGAGTTCTCCTGATTACTGCTTTAAGAAGTTAATCTTTAAGTTAATAAGTTAATCTGACACTGAAAAACAAGTTTGCTACCGCAGTTAATCATGGTTTGCTAAAAACATTTCGCCGCCGTAACTATGGATCTTCAAACCGCAGCAAACGGTTTGCTGTCGCACGCAATACAATAGGCACAGTAGCACAACATTTAATTAGCCCAACTAAATATTAGCTGATACGATTTATTAAATCAGACCACTCAGCCAGTTTAAAGTCGTCAAACAACTTTTCTTCTTGCTGTAAATATTAGCTGTCCATATTTTACAACTGAAATGTAGCTGCAGTTTTCAGCTACGGCAGCTACATTGCTCTTTCCGTGTATAATTCTCTATAATGCGGGCTGTGCTATCCGTGAAGACAGATCAACGTACTTCTCGTGAAGATGCGGTCGAATTTGATAAACCGGTTGCTGAGCCGCCTCCTCAACGTCCTCGAGAATCTCCAGATTCACATGCTTCTTTTCCTGCTCCTCCTGTGCTACGTCCGCCGCTTCTTGCGCCGGGTTATGTTTCGTAGAATGTTGCATTCGTCTCGCTTCCGCCATTTGTATCAGATATAATTTCCTGTCAGATCATCCCTACTGATCGTGGGCATGTTCCAAGTTGTTTACCTTCAATGGCAACCAGTGGCAACAGTATCGTTGCTGACGGACAATGAGTGCGTTCCGGCAAGACACTGCTACCGTAGCGCTACAGCTTTTTCGCTACAATTGTAGCGGTGCCATATATACATTAGCGTGCATAACCTCAAAATTGAATTATAAGAGTCGCGTTTACCTCGTTTACAAAATTAATTGAAACGAATAGAATGGAATATATTGAAGATTGGCTCATGAATGACATATTGTTCGATTATTCATCAGATGAAAGCAACGTTAAAGAGGAAGAAGTTCCGCTACAGTTGTAGCGGTACGTTTTGCCGAAACGTACTCGTGTAGCGCTATCGTAGCGCTACCGTAGCGCTACGGTAGCAGTGTCTTGCCGGAACGCACTCAATATGTTCAGCAAGACCCAAGCATTGCGTTGCCTTGCGATATCCGAAGCCAATTCGTTGGCCTCAACGGTAACAGCCAATCGTGAGCCTTGTTTGCTGTTGCTACACTGGTGAACCAGTGCAATAAATTAGAGTGAGACAAGTATATTTTTCTCATTCTTAAGCCCGCTGCAGACGATGCTATTTTTCCTGCTGGATTGCTTGCGATTTAGTAAATTACTATCGTTGCACCACTCAGCATTCAGGATTCCTAGTAATTTACTAAATCGCAAGCAATCCAGCAGAAAAAATAGCATCGTCTGCAGCGGGCTTAACTTACTGCACTAGTTCACCAGTGTAGGAACAGAAAACAAACCTATTGCTGGTCAACAATTAAGGCTGGCTTATGCAAAGCCGTTAACTTATGCCGGAATCGGTAAAAGTTAAACAATTACAGTCAACTTTTCTCCTGACTTTGACTAATTCCGGTACAAGTTACGGCCTTGCGTAAACCAACCTAAAGCCCGCTGCAGACGATGCTATTTTTCCTGCTGGATTGCTTGCGATCTAATAAATTACTATCGTTGCACCATTCAGCACTCAGGATTCCTAGTAATTTCGTAAATCGCAAGCAATCCAGCAGGAAAAATAGCATCGTCTGCAGCGAGCTTTACCCAATTCTGCTCTCTCGCGAAGAGCTCAACGAAG